CACTGCTCTCTCCACCATCATGGCTTTGCGGCAGTACTATCCAGGAATCCCAACGGGGAAAATAACGAAACAAAGCCTATGGATAATGGTACCAAAGATTTTATTTCAGATACCAATGATCTCGTTGATCAGTCCATATATTGGTAATACGATTCCGTGAATCACGTGCTGTACGGAAACTGGCGAGACTGTAACGCTAAAAGTGACGGACAGATGTTAAGAACAGATATCCCATTGTTTGATATTCACCAAGGCTTAAATAGTTGATTGTGAGTAAGATCCTCAAAGAGTTCATTCATTTTGTTGTCATGGTAACTTGTTGCTATGGTCGACAGACCAGTTACGCTTGACGCTTCCTTCGTCCTGGTCCAAAGGGATTCTGTGCGATGTTATTTGCTGAAACACAAAATTAATTCAATTTGTTCAACAATTCAGGTATTGTTTAGCACATTCAAAGCGTCAATTAAAAGCTGGAGGCTGTTTATCTCCTATATAACATTAATCATGTATAGGTTTTCACGCGTCTTTCCGTGGTGGCCATTAAATTCACCATCAACAAACGCCACAGGCGCTACGAATTGTGGGTAAAAGCTCTTCCGATAAGGTAATTAGCGGGTTTGTTCGGCCCGTTACCGTTACCCCTGTAAATAGCGAAGTGGTAAGTGCGTCATCTTCGACGTGCCACTCAGCATTCCCATAGACAGACATTAAGGGACTTCGCATACAACACTCTGGTGTGGTGTAAGTTAGATGTCAGGGATCAGACAATACCACCATTATAATTCATCTCCTAAAAACACTGAAATGTCTCGGGGACTTTCTGAGAAAAGCATTTTATTTGAATAAAAATAAGTTCAGTTCGCAAATAGTTGATATGTGTCGGATATACAGAGGAAATCTGGGGAAAAAGAAAAATAGGGCACTATGTTGATTTGAAATTTTCTAAGTGACATTTTGACACTAAGGACAGGCTGACAAATGACGCATTGCTTAGATGACAGTTTACTTTAAGTTTTCCACACTGAATGCTTGAGTGAGATAATGTTTTACGCCATAATCAGCAATATTTTAGCTGTATCAAGCCATCTGACAGGGGCGGCTACAGCTTTTTGAGAAAGGGGGGTGCACAGTTCCACCAGATTTTCACCCTTTTTCACGACAGTTTCAATGGTCATTTAATAAACTTTCACCTCGGTCACCTTGAATACCCACAGTTAATATGTAGTGTAGTTGCTATTTTTAACCAACGAATGAAAAGACTGCCTAGGTTCCATCGAGAGGGAAACCAACGATACTTCTGACCAATGAGCGCTCAGGTTACAGCGCCAATATCAGAGCCTCGCGACCTTTACTCTACAGAGGTCGCCTAGTGGCACGCTGAAGACCCGGGTTCGATTCCCCACATGGGTACAATGTAAAGTCCATTTTGGTGTCCTCCGCCGTGATATTGCTGGGATATTGCTAAAAGCGGCGTAAAACCTTCCTCACTGTTCTACAGAGAGTCGGGCAACGGTAGGATTCCCATAGAGTACGCCCTGACCTGGGTTTATTACCCATTACTAATACAAGGCCTAATTTCGCTGCTGCACATAAATAGTTTAGCCGTCGAGCACATTCACGGTCCTTGGGGGAACGTACTCCATGCACACCCGTGACATTACGAGATACAAACACTCACCATTCACCCCTCTGTATACATTCTTTATTGTTTCAACGTCCATCCGGTCATGAACAACTATTTGGAAAAGCTTATATGAATCTCTAAACCAGCGATTTCTTGAACAAAAGCCAGACATGAAATTGTATTTTGATATTTTTTTGATGTTATGAAATTGTATTTTACATAACTTCTGTGCGTTTTACAGTGTCGTGTTTTAAACGTTCATCGTGATTCAAACCCGTGAAGATCCTGGTTAAAATTGGTCTTCAGCAACCCATGCTTGTCTTAAGCGGCGACTAACAGGATCGAGTGGTCAGGCTCGCTGACTTGGTTGACATATGTCATCGTATCCCAATTGTGTAGATTGATAGTCATGCTGTTGATCACTGTATTATCTGTTCCAGACTCAATTATGTACAGACCTCCGCCATATAACTGGAATATTGCTGAGTGCGGCGTTAAACAACAAACCAACCAACCATCGAGATCTTTTACAAATACTCCTACTCCAGAGAATTAATCAGATTTCATTGGCTGTAAAGGCAAAATAGTGATGAAAATGGAAATGAAAATAAACGAATCATTGAATATCATTGATGACACTAGTTGTTCGCGAAAAGGGTAAACGTGTTTGTTGTACCAGACCATCTGTGACGCACATGGTTTGAATGAAGAAAACAAATGTTTGGTAGCTGTTTTATGCTCCTACTGTATCACAATGATGACCTGAAAGTGTACTTTCTTACTCTGGTTAAATACCTACCATTTAGTTCATCGATAGCATCATCAATAACTCAAGACTAACTGTTTCTCGGGGGGAAATGAGTTGATGATGTTATTTGTATATCTGGAAACTTTATGACGCATTTCTCTAAATCCACGATAAGTAATTATTCTGTTCTACGCCTGACCTTTAATCTTGTAAAGGTTGCTTTGAGAAACCTTCATGAAAAATCACAGTATTCGAGTCCCAAAGGCCTGCTGATTCCAGCCTTCATTTACTCCTTCCTGTTTATGAAGACGGTGATAAATAGGTACTGCTAGATGAATGAATTCACAAACACGAAAACATAACATTTAGATATTAAACTTTAACTAAATCGATATCCGGGCTAATTTGTACGTCGTACACACGTCTCTACGTTTACGCTACAGGGCTGGCGTGACAATGGCTGCACAGCGGGGTTCTTGGAGAATAACACCGCCGGTGTTCTTATTTTTATTTCCACGACGCCCATATCCAACTCTTTTTTCTTTGTATTCGAAATAAGTAAATGAAGCAGCGTGTACAAACATTGAAATGTGTTTAGTTTGTGTTCGGAAGACGACAGTGGTGGTTTCTCTCGCTCCGGGGTCTACTGCCTTACGAAAACATTTACTCAGATCTTGGCGGGTGATGTAAGCCGACTGTGTACATACTAGAATAAGACATCGATCTGCCTCCGTGTTGTGAGTTTGATTATGTTCCGTCATTCAAAAACATCTGGTGACAAATTTATTGACAGAAATGATTCATACCGGGTGAGGTTTCTTTGCAATGATAGAGAGAAAAACATGGAAATCGTGTGCGAGAGATGTGGATGGACAACGAATTTGCAAGGGAAAGAAAAAGACTTAAAGAGGTCGTTAAAGAGAAATATGGCATACCTTAATGGAACCATGCACAGAGAGGGGAGAGAGAAAGAGGGAGAGAGAGAGAGAGAGAGAGAGAGAGAGAGAGAGAGAGAGGGGAGGGTTGGTTGGTTGTTGTTTTTACGCCGAACGCAGCATTATTCCAGCAATATGGCGGCGGTTTGTCATTGATCGAGCCTGGACCATACAATCCAGTGATCCACAGCATAAGCATCAATCTACGCAACTGGGATACGATGACATGTGTCACGCATGTGTTTCTGAAGACCGATTCTAACCCGGATCTTTCTTTTTCTTCATTTCCACTGTTTGGTTACATTTGCATTCATTTCAAAACAACAATACCTACATGTGCATGTATATGTGCATACAGATGTACACAAGATTATGTTTTCATTTAAATGCTATATCTAAAACATTACACGGGGTTGCTGAAAAACATATGTACAGACGACCAAAAGGCATGAACGCTTGCTTGTTTACAGAGAATGCTGAGAATTTTGTTGTTTGATAATATCTATATATTTTTTGTTGTAAAGGTTTGAAATTTAGTTTGATTTTCTTAATAGTACATCTGTAAACATAGATTTTGTTATAAGCATGATTGCCTCTGACAGGTAAAATGATCAGACATATCCTTTTGGTGGACAACCGACCCCTTATCCATATTTGCACTTTTGTGTGATCATGTTCGTGTACATATCAATGGCTAAAAGGAGCGTTTATGTTTCCAGTTTAAAACAGAATATACAATTATGGGGTAAATCAATTATACATGACGATATTGTACCCTTTAGGTCTGTTTGACATCTTTAAGACAATTCGATTGAGACTAGCAAATACTCATGTTCAAATTTAGAAAAAATGTTGTTTTTAGGTTTTTTAACATGAACATAGCATAACGAAATCAAACCTTTTCAGCACACTTCGTTTTGTAGTATTTTAAGCTTTTATGTACAATTCCCGAACAGTATAAAAACACGTTGGTACAATAAACAACACGATGGATTAAGAATGCTACCATTTGTGCTCTTATGTACATATAATTATATTTATGGAAAATGTTCAAGATTGACTTTTTTAGCCTCGTTCATTAAATGATACATATGTGATAGCTGTATTCTGGAGTAATGCAAAGAAACATAAAGATTCACCTCAAGACACTAATTGTATATAAAGGAGCTCAAGTCCTATCATTTGTGGTAGGGTAAATATACTGATGTCAGAATATGTCCAGGCACGCATAGGGCATGTATATAAGTGAGGGGTCCAACTTATCATTAACTGCATGTGACCATGGGGAACTTTTTTGAGAAGGTAAATTTACGACAAATGACCAGATCCGTTACACGTCGAACTCTGTTCCTATTGGACGCTAAACATGTGAAAAGCTGAGATTCGGTTAGTAGTATAATACGAGGGCGATTCTCTCGGGTTCTCGCGCTGTCAACCTACATGGGCCTTGTGTTGTTCTGTAAAAACGGTTTGTTTGTTTGTTTGTTTGTTGTATTAACACCACACTCAGTGTTGTTACAGCTGTATGACGGCTAACTATAAATAATAGAGTCAGGACCAGACAATCCAGTGATCAACAGCATGAGCATCGACCTACGCAATTGGGATACGATGACATGTGTCAACCAAGTCACCTGGCCTGACCACCCGACCCCAGTAAAATCACATAAAAGCCGGGTTATAGAAACAAAAGGTCTTGAAACTGTATACAGAACTATATTTGCCCAATCCCCGAGAAATATGTAAACAATTTTAAAAGAAAGAAAACGAAAAGAAAACAAGAAGATTTTAAACAACCAATGGGACTTACATTGTGTCACTTGTCAGATATCTATATGTGTGCGTGTCATATATTTCCGTTATCTGTGATAATTATACTCAACAAATCAGAAAACATTAGTTACCTTCTGATGCTCTGGCGTAATCTGACCCTGCAAAATGCCGCGACATCAGCCCGAAATCAGCATGACCTCTGCGTTCTCTGTAAAGACAAGTTACTGTGTTAGATCGCTGTACCAGAAATGTTTGTTGCTTAACGCCACATTCAAAATTGAGTGAGTGAGTGAGTATGGATTTTAGGAATATTCCAGCAATATCACGGCGGGGGACATCAGAAAGGGGCTTCACACATTATACCCATGTGGGGAATCGAACCCGGGTCTCCTGCGTGACGAGCGAACGCTTTAACCACTAGGTTGCGATCTACGCAACTGAGATACGATGATATGAGTCAACAAAGTCAGAGAGCATGACCACCTGATCCCGTTAGTTGCCTAGCGTAAAATTAAACTCACTCACACACTCACTGATCATTAGACTTGTCAGGTAACCAATCTACATCTAAAAAATAGTAATTATCTCCAACTTAGGACATTCTATAATCTCCAGCAGTGGAGATCTTAACATGCTTAATCTCCAGTTACTAGTGCATGTTCCTTGTCGCCAGTCGGGAAAACAGTTGGCCCACAGTACTCCATGTTGCTCATACAAGCAGACAAAAGGGTATTGGTTGGTCATACAAAGTGACATCGATGACTGCGTGACATATTGCCCGGAACCCGTTGCTCTTGCTGACAATCTCTGGCTTGTCCGACGCATATTCTTTTCAAGCTTCTTTTCTAAGTGGTGGTTGAAGTTACACAACGTTGGGCGCGGAGAGTCATTGGATGGGTGACCATGTTTGGCAACTTGGTTCCTCAGAGTTCCTAGGACTTCAGTCCTGCCCCACAACGAAGCACATGTGATACATATGATCTCACCTTAGGCAATTGGGTTTGTTCAAAATTGCCTCCGTTCGCCCAGCAGAAAATGGGTACCCGGTGGGATAAGTCATGTGGCCATTTACCTTCTAGCGCCTCACAGGCAGCTTGGGTTATCCGGGATAATAATAATCAGATGTACAAGGAAAAGGCGCATTATAAATTCACAATTATATTATAAGTCTGGAATATTCTTGACCGCGGTGGAAAGAAAAGTGAAGTGTGATAATTTGTAAAGATTGTCGCGACCGGCGGAACCCAACATTCACATATAAATAGAGGTATCTGAATATACAGTAACTGAAGTTTTTTTTATATTAGTGTGCTGTTTTTGGCTACGTGTATATGCACTTACACTCTCTGGTTCCGTAGAGACTTCAACAAATAGTCCACCAATGATATCGTCTCATCTTCTGTTAGACCAAGTGCAGGTAACTCTTCCTCTGCCCTGGAAGAGAACGTTATAATTATTCATAGTTAAGAATAGGGTAACATGGTGGGCAAACCCAATGCATGGTCTCACAGCTTGTTTTCTGTCTATCGTTCTCGTTCTCCTTACTTATAGATACGTATTAGGTATGCACCTGTTTCTCTGCTCTGGACATTGAAATAGATGCCAACTACCATGGATGTCGTATTTGATAAGCACGAAATGAATAAGACAAGGTTTCCGGAAAATAAAGGGGTTTTATTAACATAACGGTACACTTAATAACTGTTAGGTATATTCTCCAGAGGTAATAATTCCAGGAATTGCGGGACTTAATTCACAAAAGCCTAAATCGGAGTCTTGTTGCTTCCAGAGAGCAGGCAATTCTTACAAAAGGAGAATGTCATTTGATAGCCATGGAAGACGGCTTGAGCTACAGCCCGTCACTGCATGCGACAGCCACGACACGATACACAAACCCCGCGACGCCGGGGAAACAATGGCGACAAATGAAGGGCGAGATGGTGAACTATGGCAGTCCCAGAGCGGGCGCTAACCATATTTTCTTGGAAGTGATTGCTTTGTTCACATTACACTTCTGGTGTTTATTCTGATGCGGATCAGGAAGATGAATCAAAGGGTAGAGACGTTCTGCACATGATTTCAATGAAGCTTGCTGATGTGTCAAAACTTGCCAAGCAATTATGACACCTCGAGCGGGGAATGGGGTCACATGAATACGCCTCGGACCCGTCTCTTCTCTAAAAGTAATCTATCTTTGAAAATGAGTTCAATGAGTTCAATGTTCAATGTTCAATGAGTGATTGGGTTTAGTTACACCGCACTCAGCAATAATCCCGCAATATGGCTCTGGTTTGTACTTAGTCGAGTCTGGGCCACACAATCCAGTGATCAACAGCATGAGCATCGATCTACGCAATTGGGATACGATGACATGTGTCAACCAAGTCATCCCGTTAGTCGCCTTTCAGCATGGGTTGCTGCAGATCAATTCTAACCCGGATCTTCACGGGTATCGTTGTTCAAACCAGTAAGCACCATGTAATCTATAAATTAAGTAGATGCTCTTTATATGTTCAGGAAGAGTGAGTGAGTGAGTATAGTTTCACGCCGCTTTTAGCAATATTCCAGCAATATCACGGCGGGGGACACCAGAACTGGGCCTCACACATTACACCCATGTGGGGAATCGAACCCGGGTCTTCGGCCTGACGAGCCAACGCTTTAACCACTAGGCTACACCACCGTCCCTTTCCCTGAAGGAATATTTGTGTGACGCTTGCTGACTAAGCAATAAATATGCGTATAAATATTATACCTTACTGACAAATTATACCTTACTGACAAATTTCCATGAATAAAAATGAAATGATGGGGTAATGTTATCATAACATAACGACTATCATGTTCAAAACGTGCAACATCAAACATTTCAGTCTGAACACAAAGAGAGCCTTAAAAAGGTGTTAATATAAAAAACGAAAATATCAAATAAGATATTTTTAAAAAATCCATGTTCCGAAATATTTGGTCCTTCAAATATCTTTGTAGACAAAAGAACCAGTTACCAGTGCTTACAGATCGACAGAGAACTGCGATAATTTTCCATTTTATCCCAACGGCCAAATCAAAGGGTTCCCCAAGGATATCACCGTCATGATAATTCCAAGTTTTTGTTACCATTTTGTGTGAAGGTTTAAAAGAAAATGTTTGCTAAACTGACTGGATATTATAGCGATCATATGCTGATTTGTTGCTAGTAGCATCTCAAAAGTGATTTTTCTCTCCCCTCTTTCGAGATGAAACGCAAAATTGGAAAATTGACGGAATGACAGCTATTATGGCTCGAAGACTTTGCAAGAAGCTTCATCTCAATATCGAAAATTACAAGCGAAGAAACGATGCATAGTAACATGACAAAATAAACAAATATGATGAAAATACAAGACTGGTATTATACAAAAAGTGGTGCCTCACTTATTAAGCGGTTTTGTTATTCAAATTCTTTGGGGAAGAAAAGATTTGAAAATAATTATCTTTGAAAAACTTCAGTTTTATGAGACCAGTCACTTAGAGGGGCAAGACATAAAAATCGTGGATGCCTACGAATGAGACGTATTTTGCTGTCTTAGAAATATATTTTTATCGAAATTATCCACAATGAAAATATCATCATTTTGGAATATGTATGAGTAAATATAAGTCACAAAACCCTTCCCAAATCCATAAGAAACCTTTCTTAAAAACAAATAACATGACATGTTGATAGGTTTCGTTAATAAGTGGAAAGTAGAGTAGCGTAATGGGTAAATCTCGTCAAACCGAAGGCCGAAGTGTGTTTCCTCAATGGCTACAACGTTCAAGTTCAATATTTGTGTCCGACCTTATATTGCAGGGATGTTACTGAAAACTAGGTCCAACATGCTTACTTATTCACACACATCAGATTGGTTGACGGGGCGGTGGGGTAGCCTAGTGGTTTAAGCGTTCTCTCGTCACGCCGAAAGCCCGGGTTCAATTCCCCACAGGGTACAATGTGTGAAGATCATTTCTGGTGTCCCCCGCCGTGATATTGCTGGAATATTGCTAAAAGCGGCGAAAAACCAAACTCACTCACTCTTATTGGTGTTCTCCTCTGGTAATTTGTCATTTGGCTTCGTCATATGCAAAACGAACGTTAGATGACACTTTAAGCACCAATGCAACAATAAGACGGGTGACTCTATGCCTTCGTACACTTGACAGTGTAAGGGTTAACCAGCTCTCGCCGACAGTAAACACAACTATTAGCAGCAACTACCACCACACCTACTTGGCGGGAGGAAGGGATCGGGAGGGGCAGGGGTGGAGGGGAGACGGGGGTTATGTCAAGGTTTCATTGAATTTAATTGACGTACCTTTTGACTGTGAAGGCTGTGCTGAAGACACACAGAGTCAGGACGCACATACAGAATAGCCAGGTTCTTTCCATGTCACCTGCAAAAACACCACATTCAAGCATACATACTCATGCCAATAATGGTTGTCACCCCCTTCAATTTTTTCAATTGGAGAGGGTGTGTGGGGTGGGGGTGTGAGGTGTGTGGAGGGTTGGGGTAGGGAGGGGGGTGACAACCATTATTGACATGAGTATATATATACTCGTGAAGATACGGGCTACAACTGCTCTTCAGCAACCCAGGCTTGTTGTGATAGGCGACTAACGGGGTCGAGTGATCTGACTTGGATTGACACATGTCATTATATCCGAACTGCGTCGATCGATGCTTATGATGTCTATGATGTCAATCACCCGATTGTCTGGTCCGGACTGGATCATATTTACAGACCGCCGTCATATAGCTGGAATATTGCGGCGCTGAACAACTAATATTAAAACTTTGAGAGGCATTTAGAAGTTAGAGTGGTAAGGAGCGATAACAATATCACTCGATAACGGTGTTACAACCTACCCGAAAAGTCGCTCTCACTGTAATAAAGACTTTCATCATCCATATATTGTTATTCGTCCTTAACTGACTGACTGACTGAGTTTTGGTTTTACGCCGCTTTTAGCAATATTCCAGCAACATCACGGAGGGGGACACCAGAAATGGGCTTCACACATTTTACCCATGTGGGGATTCGAACCCGGGTCTTCAGCGTGACGAGCCAACGCTTTAACCACTAGGCTACCCCACCGCCCCTGTCCTTAACAAACATACAAATAGAAACAAGTATTTAATCTTGAACAACATAATACTTTAACAAGAGGGCTTTAATGGTACGAGTGTCTTTGTATCGTGTAAAGATATCGATGCTTCCATATCAGTTTGGGGAAATTAGATCCCTGCGCTTCAAAGGCTCTGCTATGCTATGTTGTCTATTCTTTTGAACACTAGCGATGATGTTTGGGTTGTGTGTTTGGAGATGTGGATATTGAAACCTCGGATTCTCTTGATTGACTGTAATGGCGCAGGTTGTCTCTAATTTCAGAACTTGGTTAGTGATTGTCTAGAGATCCCTAGCGTCTGACCGAGTTTGGTTTGAAGATCAAGATTTTAAACTTAGCGAGCGATGGCCTATATTTATGCCACGGTTCAAAGCGTACTTGCCATAAAAAAGAACTCGTGTCCCTGTTTTCAAGCTTTAAACAGTTTCAATGCATGCTCTTACCACATGCAAGTCGAATGTTTAAGACAGAATTGTTTCAAAATGCGACTGAGTGAAAATGTTCAAATTGATTCTCGACTACAAGTGAACTATTGTATACGATTAATTGAACACAAACCCGTTCGAAGTGGCTTTTCCCAACAAAGCTAATATGACGTCATGACTACGTCATAGTAGATGACGTCATTTTGAAATATATAAACGTTATATCAGATTGCACATAAACACATCTGCAGTACATTTCTACATTTGGTTTACAAGGACAGGCATCACAAGAAGAGATGAACTAAGTCTCGAACACGGCAACATAATTCTTATGTTCAATAAATCGTTTGTCCTCTTTGGACAGATGGAACACTGGGCACATCACTATTGAGAACCAGAACCGCTTTACCGTGAAGATTAGGATGTAATCGATTTCAAACATGCTTCTACACATAAAAACGTTGTTAATATCTGCAATATACCCACTATACCCGCTCGGTGGGCGAGCTGGCTAAGGCGCCAGGCTAGTGATCCAGCGAGGTTGAGGTGTCGGGATCGAGCCCACCTGTGACCGGGTGTAAAAACCTTGGAGTCAACTTTGTGTGCAGACTCTTTCAGTGTTGTCACAACCCCACAACCCCTAGTGTACAGTGCAAGAGCTGCAAGAGTTGTATACTCCCCAGAGAGTTGAGATTGACAATAGGATGTACCTTGAGATTGACATCCAATGATCGAGGGAAAAAATACCAGCGCTTTGAGCATGCACTAGTTGCCTGGATATGTGCGCTATATAAATATCCTATCCTATACAAATATCCTATCCTATAAAACGGCATTCTGTACACACTGACCACGGACAAGACAGGCCAGTGACCGACATCATGAACATTGATATATGCAACTGGGATACGATAACATGCATCACCCTAGTCGGCGAGCCTGACCACCCGATCCCGTTAGTCGCCTCTTACTACAAGCATGGGTTGCTGAAGATCAATTCCAGACGGGAACCTCATGGGCTATCCTGACATATAACACATGAAGGTAAATATTGATGGCATGACATGAGACAGAAAGACGGATGCCATTATCTGGACGGTATTTGTTTCTCTCAGTCCTTTGCTGTGGATCTATGGAACTATACGCATGCCAATAATGGTTGTCACCCCCCTCCCGACACACATCTCACACCCCCACCCCACACCCCCTCTCCAATTAAAAAAATTTAAGGGGGTGACAACCATTATTGGCATGAGTATATTTCAGATACATGACCGGGGGCTTATAACGATGGCGTCGGAACAGAAACGCCGGTCGTTGATGTCATAAGCAGCGTCCCGCGCTGTCAGGCTACAATGACAGGCAAATAGTGACATCACCAACCACTCCACCCGTATAATCCTTCCGTACCTACATCGAAACCGAAATACCCGCTAAACTATACGATACGACACTATACTATACTACCATATATATATATATACTGCACTGCACTGCAATATAGTAAAACAGGTAATCTTAACCTTAAAACTGGTCTTGAATATATACTAACCGCAAAAGAAACGTCACCTTAATTTTGGTCTTACAAGGTGGTGTTTTTATTATGATTGTACCGTTTTGTAAACACGCTTTTTTGTATTCCAAATTGACAGTAATTACCAACATCAGTGTTTTTTCTGATGAAAACGCATATCAACCAAACATACCTAAAAGGCAGACGTGGAAAAAGGTTCCGTATGACATTCACGTAAATGAAAATGCACGTGCATATCGTGAAAAACTTACCAATGTCAGTCCCAAACTCGCCTGAAATCATTTTGGTTTTGACACAATCGCCAAAGAACTGTGCTTTTTTCTGA